AAATTTCACAAATCACGTTTTCAGGGGAGCCCATGTCTTATTAAGGGGAGCCGAGATCCCCCTAGCTCCCCCGTAGTTCGCACCCTGCTTTCTTCTTTCACAGCAGGAAAACATTTTTGAGAGACACCAGGACTGCAGCTGACTGGTGTGGTAACAGAAATTTAAATGGATTTTTTTTAATATAAAAAATTGATGATGCATACTAAATAGGGCTGCACGATAAATCGCATGCGATATTATTTACCGCTGATTAGAGAACGGCTTTACTGACAAGATGCGCGTTAAATATCGCATCTGATTTATCGTGCAGCCCTAATACTAAATACCAACAAGCAGATGAGCACCAAATTAAATCCCTACACAAAGCTGCGTGGGCAGAAAGTTCTCCAGCGGAACTGTTCACTTTTGTATTTGGGAAAAAAAAAGATTATGAGGTGTTCTGCACAGAAATGGTGTCAGGATCATGGACCTGTTTTGTTGTGTTTTGCCCCTGTTTTTGTTCCTGTGTGCCCTTATTTGGTCATGTTCCTGTCCTCGTTTAGTTTAATTAGTCATTCTGTGCACCTGTGTTTGTTAATTATCCCTTGCATTTAAGCTCTTGTCTGTGCATTTCTCCTCTGTCGGGTCTACTCGTTATGTACATGTGTTTGCTACAGTGCACATTGTGTGGATTTCCCCTGTGTTCCTTGGATTAAAGTCTGTTTACATTTCCTCGTGTCTCCTGCGTGCTTCCTCAACAGCGTATCGTGACAGAAGACCCAACCCACACAGTCACAGTCAACTGGAGCAGGGGAAGAGATCGCTCGAGGTCCATACCAGACTGTTTCTGGCCCTTGCCCATCTTACCAGCTACCTGGGCGACGCGCTCTGCTCTTTCTACGACGCCAGTTTGAACGCTCCGTGCAGAGCGCCGTCGTCCGAAGATGGTCCTCGAGCAGATTTCGCTGCCTTTGTGGAGTGGATTCTGGCGAGAAATGGATCGCCTTTCATCGTCCCTCCCGAGGATGATCTCGCCAGATCCACTCCAGACCCAGTGCCCAGCCCACCATCTCCCCGCAGTGCGAAGCATCAGTCCGAGCCCACCGATGATGGAGAGCCCATTACCCTAGCCCTGAGGGAGCTCCCGTTTCCCAGTCCAGCCAGGACTGGGCTCTGATCCCCGAGGGCAGCCCTGAGAGCCCGGAGGCTCACGAATGCCCACCCCCCCGCTCCTGCCTCCTTCACCGCTGTCGTCTGGCAGCCCCTCTGCTCGCCCTCAGCCCACCATCTATATGGTGCAAGCTCTGCGGGTCTGCCATCCTCCATCGTCGCCATGGCTGGAGCATCCCTCTCCTCCGCCTCCAGCCTCTAAGGCCCGGACTCCGCCTTGGCCCGTAGACCCAGCGGCTCCACCTCGGCTCCTAGCTCCCTCGCCTCCACCGTCACCCGTCGATCCACCAGCTCCACCAGGCTCCCTCGTCCCTCCGGCTCCGCCTTGGTCGGGCGTCGACCCGCCATCGCCTCAGGACTCCGCTCCTCCGGCTGCACCTTGTCGCTCCGTCCCACCGGCTCCGTTGGGCTCCTTCCTCCCGCCAGCTCCACCTTGGTCCTCAGTCGCTCCGGCTCCGCCGCGGATCTCCGGCTCAGTTGCCAGAGCCCTCGGCTCCACCCTGGCCCCCCGGATCCTCGCCACCCCCCTGGCTCGTTGGCTCTCCGTCTCCGCCTCAGGGCTCCTCCGCCGCAGTTGGTCGGCCCCCTGGAGTCAGCGGCCATTCCTCCTCCATGGCTCCTCCCTCCATCGGCTCCACCATGTGCCACCGTTATGGCTGTGGCCTGGGTCCAGCTTGGCTCCTCCTGCTCCAAGTCCCTCCTGTCTCCTCCCTGGCTCCTCCCTCCATCTGATCCGCCCTTGTCTCTGTCTGCCGGCCCCCTCCCGGGTGTCCGTCCCCCTCCCGAGCCTCCTCCCAAGTTCCCACCCGTGCCCCCACTCTGTTGTTCTACGGCGCGACGGGAGGGGGGCGATATGTCAGGATCATGGACCTGTTTTGTTGTGTTTTGCCCCTGTTTTTGTTCCTGTGTTCCCTTATTTGGTCATGTTCCTGTCCTCGTTTAGTTTAATTAGTCATTCTGTGCACCTGTGTTTGTTAATTATCCCTTGCATTTAAGTTCTTGTCTGTGCATTTCTCCTCTGTTGGGTCTACTCGTTATGTGCGTGTGTTTGCTCCAGCGCCCATTGTGTAGATTTCCCCTGTGTTCCTTGGATTAAAGTCTGTTTACGTTTCCTCGTGTCTCCTGCGTGCTTCCTCAACAGCGTATCGTGACAAATGGTTGATAAAGCAAAGTACAAAATCTTTACCAGATTTGAGGAAGAATGAGTCATCCTTCAGGATCATAAATAAAAAATCAATCAATGATAAAAATCTATAAAAACTTAAGTGTCTCAATTAAAATGGTCTCATGATACACACACACACACAAATACATATGGTCACACTTTAGTTTTGGGTGCAATTCTCACTATTAACTAACTATTGACTTTTGCCTCAAACTATTAATTACTGTTCAGGTATAGGGTAAGATGTAGAATATGGTCACGCACAATAAGGCATTAGTATGTGCTTTATGAGTACTAATAAACAGCTAATATAGTAATATGCAAACAACTAGTTAATAACTAAAGTGTTACATTAAATAAATGTTTGTGTGTGCGCGCGTGTGTGCGTATATACAATATTGTCTAGCGGCAGCTGGGCACTCCTTATGTGTGTTCTTTATGGGAAAATGCTTATGCAATTTAGCTTATTGGGTTCATTTTCTGATCGCATCTGCTTGCCGGTATATAATATGCATCATCAAATCTTTTATTTAAAAATAAAACAGGGTGAGAAACAGCAGAAATGGTGAGAAAGACTGTGGCAGCTGCCATGAACTCCGGCAGCTGCCGTGGCATCTAGGGATGCCACCGGAAGTGGCGCTGCAACCTGCCGCTGCCAGAGAGAGTGCCAGCCCCTGCTGAGTTTTTTTTTATTATTAAAATGTTTTAAATAGTTTTTATTTTCATGTTTTCATTTTTAGTTTTAGTAATTTTGTTGTGTGTTCTTGTTGTTATGTTTGCTTGTTTTTTAACAGGTCTATATATTTTTTATTAATTTGTATTTTAGTTTGAGTTATTTTAGTACATCAAGTTAAACTAAATGAAAATGAGAATTTTTGCTTTGGCAACTAGCTGAAATAATGTTATAATACGTTACACACACACACACACACACACACACACACACATACATACATACATATACATATATAATTTCAGTTAGCATTTATAGTATTTGTATGTAACATTTTTATGCAGATACAGTATATAGATGTTTACCTTTACAGCTGTACCACCTTTCTGAGCCTTCTCCTTCTTATCACTGTCCCCACTGCCTGAAGCAGCAGCCCGTCCAAATACAAATGTATATAAGTATCTTAAAAGTACAACTATGCAACTAAGATAATACCTATCCATTTGTATGTGCACTTGCTCTATTAAGCATTTTGAAATAACCATATTACGCGAATCCCACATTTGGCCACATTCCTCACGCAATTCACACTTTGACACATTTAGTAAAGATCCAATAGCCTGAAATGTTTCATTAACACTATACAAAAACGAGAAAAAAATCAACAGAAATACAGCAGAGTGTAACAATGTTTACAATCTGTTAACCATAAACACTACCAGGTAGCTAGCATGTCAGCATACATATTAGTGCAGCAATCAAATTATATGCTATAAATGTCGATATGGTGTCATTTGTTAGATTTTGTTCATGAAGCATCATATATTTGTTGTTTACCTTTAGCGCCTTTGCCACCCTTTCCTTTTGGTGGCATTTTCTATCTCCTCGTGTCGGATGTGTTTCCACTTAACGTTACACCTCAGCTAGCACAGAAGAGCTAGTAACAGATTCCCACGCGGTTAGACTGAAAATTACACAGCAGCTTTTTTTTAGCCTACAGTTTTACAGTATACGTTATTTCAGTCTGTGTTGTGTGCTAAACGACGCACGCAAATGCAACTATTTAACCGATGCAAAGAAACTGTCTAAGACTATCTTTAACTTTGCGCATATATGAGTTGAAAGGACGCGCATGAGTACATTGAAGAGGCATGGACAGTTTCCGTTTTCACTCCAGTGACGATCGATTTTTTTATTTTTATTTTTTTATGGTGATGACCAATAGATGGGTTAATATGTTTTAATTACAACTGTATTTTTTTTTTAAAATTTGAAATAAAACAGATTATAATAGTAGAATTGTCAATGACATTTCTGCGCAAATGTGCCCAGCAATGATGCTCGTGAACAACCTAACATGAAACCCTTATGATGACCGTCCCTCTTATGTAGCCTGCTTTTGTGGAAAGTATCGATTTTATTGCATAAAAATCATTAAAATGTTTAATGTTATCGGTTTTATGCATTTATGCTTTAAATTACCCATGCATCCTTTCAATTAAGCAAGTAATTCGCCTTTAGGCAGCTAATGCTCGAGTCGGAACGAATCAGATTTCCGTTTATTGAGAAGCAACTGTTGCCATAGTAACATGAAGACAACACAGCCGCCTTCTGCAACGACGCATTATCTTAAAAAAAAATACATAATTTAAACTAGTTTTGGTCAATAATGCATGATGACCCACAGGTAACAAATATTTTAAAGATGTTTGCTTTCCAAAAAGTTTTTCACCTGGCAGTCAAACAGTTTATAAGTTGATTTATTGAAGGCTCATATAATAATAACTCTTTGCTTTACATTTAGTCATTTACATTACATTTACATTTACATTTAGTCATTTAGCAGACACGTTTATCCAAAGCGACTTACAAATGAGGACAATAAAAGCAGTCAAAACTAACAATAGAGCAACATTATATAAGTGCAAATGACAAGTCTCGGCTAGCCTAACGCAGTAACTTACACGTAGCAAGGTGTGTGTGTGTGTGTGTGTGTGTGTGTATATAGAGGGAACAGTTAATGAAAAAGTCTGTGAAAGTGATTTTGTGCATATTTCTTACATATCTGGTGTTTCCTTTAGACAGACATTTCTTATCCAAAAGATAAGTGGCCATAATCATATCCAGCTCTTAACTGGACAAATGAAATGTTCCTGCCAGTAGCAAGGGAATAAAGAAGATGTTTGGTGATTTGATGGTGTCATGGAGAAATATGATAAAGTCCTGACTCTTGGCAGAGGAGGAGCAGGTGTGGTGATGTTAATGAAACATGTCAATACAAAGAAATGATGTGCAGTCAAGAGAATACATGTGGACAGTTCCCGAAAAACAAAGACCAAAGATGTGTTGCAAGAGGCAGATATTCTCAGGAGCTTGAAGCATCCTCATATTATAACATGGATTGACACTTTCTTTGACACAACTAATGAGCATATTTACATTGTTATGGATTATTGTGATGGTGGAACGCTGGACGACCACATTAAAGAGCAGAAGAGTGGGGAATACTTTGCAGAATGCAAAATTATGGACTGGTTTGTGCAAGTAGTCATGGCCGTCAGTTATATCCACTCTGAAAAGATCCTTCACAGAGATATCAAGCCATCCAATGTGCTGTTAACCAAGAGAGGTGTGATTAAGCTTGGAGATTTTGGAATATCAAAGATTATGAACCACACGCTCGATATGGCCTCCACCTGTGTGGGAACCCCCAGTTATCTGAGTCCTGAACTCTGTCAGGATGTCCCATACAGCACTAAATCTGACATATGGGCTGTATGAGCTTTGTGCCCTCAAACCAGCATTTGAAGCTAAAAATCTCCTGAGTCTGTTTTACAAGATCATCAAAGGAGAGTACATCGAGATCCCCGAGAGGTATTCAGAAGACATTCATACATTAATCGAGAAAATGCTGTCCTTGGTTCCTGAGAATAGACCGAGTGCGAGCAGCATACTTAGCATGACCTATATGCAAGAACGTCTGGGAAACTTCAAACTTACAAAGGTGAATGCTCAAACAAAAGAAGATCTTAATGAAGAAATGGCATCGATGGAAAGCAGATCAGATAGTGCCTCAGCTGTCTCTGACAAGACACTGAAAACAGAGGCATCATGCAGTGCTGAGGAAGAAGTGGCCCATGAAGGAACAGAGTCTGATTATTCAGAGGACTTTGATGAACATGATAGCTATGCATCCTCAGAGGATGTTTCGAGGGAAGACGAGTCCTCCAGTCTTGCCAATGTGGTTGAAGAGGCATTTGAGGAATCTATTGGTAAGAGTGTGATGTAACCATATTAATATTTTCCATTGTTTTATTATTATTATTATTATTATGAGTTATATCTCCAAGGCAACAGGCCTAGGCTGATGGTGATCTAAGAATGATTTCCTATTTTTCCTGGCTTTTCCCCAACACCTTTGAGGATTCTCTACATGTGTTTTTCTTCACTTTTGACAGTTGTGTTTGAAGACGAAGACATCTCTGACTATCCAGATGACTTTGAAGAAGCTGAGGATGATGACCTGGTTGAAGTGGTCAGCTACGCCAGAGATGCCATGAACTGTGTTTCAGAGAATGACGTGTTTGATGTGGAACTGGAGCTCAAAGATGAAGGCGGTTTCTCTGTCACAATGAAAATGTTAAAAGAGAGATACATGGGTAAACATGCAAATGTAACATTTTACTACAAGTAGATTCTTTTTTTTTTCTTTTATCACTTGATTTGTTGTTGTTTTTTTCCCTTGGTGTGTCTTAATTAAATCAATGATGAATTTACCAATCTGCTTCAAATATAGTTTTAACAATCAAATGAGATTTTTACGTGTTTACATCAAGGTTGCAGTGATCTAGTGATTTGCAGAACATGATTTCTATCATTACTGTTTCAGAACATTTAAAATAATTCAAATAATTGAAAATCTCTCTCTCTCTCTCTCTCTCTCTCTCTCTCTCTCTCTCTCTATATATATATATACAGGGGTGCACATAAGTGGTCCGCAGTGGTCCAAAAAACTAAAATAAAGTGCAATATTATTATCAGTCTTATTAATTTATTTTTTATATAGTTATATTTAATGGGTAACAGTATATGCAGTGTGAGGACCAAACCAAATCTCCAGGTTCTCATATGAGAACCAGGCTGAAAAACGTATGTGCACCCCTGTATATACACACACACACACACACACATACATAGACTTTGTCTTTCATCATCTAATACATCTGCAGATATCAGAGTAGTTCTGGATACTGTTTGCCAACAGATCTGGTTCTCCGAGTGTCTCTGCATACTCAAGTAAATGCTTTTCTACTTTCTGGATTTATAGAGGATGTTGGAGCCTCAGTCTATGAGGAAATCAGTGGGCATTTTCTAAATGGCCTCACGCCAGAAGACCTGCAGCCACAATTCCAGCACATAATCGGGACAGACCATCTGGAGACCTGCTACCTCATTTTCAACCTTGACCAAGAGACCACATGCTGAATCATGTCTGTTCAATTTAGAGAAAGTAATTTTCTGTCATTCTCTAATGATGAGTCATTCTTTAAAGATGAAGCCCAGCAAATGATGGAATTGTATGAAGCATACAGAGTATTTTAAATACAGCGTTTTGTAATATATGTAATCCTATATGAATTATAATTAATATTTTGAAATAGTGAGGTCTTGTAGATATTTGACATCAAGAAAATGGAACGTTTGAAACTCCTTTGAAAGTGTTACCTTGTATAACCAGAAGGTGGCACTCTAAAGTAAGAAAATGTGTCTGGTGTTAAATCCAGAAAATGAGCATATCATTGTCTCTCATATCGACACTTTTAGCACATCAAAGGGACTGAAGTATAAAACAGCTGCCTTTTAAATTTATTATATTGTGAATACAAAAAATGCACTATATCAGTGGCACCAGCCAACTACTTTTTCAAGTGATTTAACCCATTTTTCTGCCTAGAGCTGAGAAATTATCTCTTAACACAGCAATTAAACAATGCTTATAAATGTGAAAGCAGTGGAGAATATCATGTGAACATTTCCTGCTGTGATTTCACTCCACTATTGCAATGTAAAACAGAAGACATTTGCTGAATTTGTAAATTTATGGGCCACAGCTGCAGTTGTTTTCCACTTAAGGCGTTTTCCCTTAAACTTGTCCAGATTATTCCAACAGAGAATTGGAGATAGAGAAACTGCCATGTGAAACTGTATGAATGACCCTGCATTATATTTCATTTAAGATTCACTTCACGATCTGCCTTTAGACCTAAGTGTGTTATCAAGCAAGCATTAACATGGGAAAGCAGCATCAATTTTTTTTGCCAGTATAAGATGACATAGATGTCCTCACATAATGTGGTTTTGGCTGTAGATCCTTTTTCATCAAAAATCAAGGCCATGTTGGTGTCAAACTGAGTGTGTGTTTTTATAGATGGAGTGGAATAAACAGATGTAGAATACCTCTAGCCACCAACTTACAAACTTAAAAACTTTTCACTTAAACTTAAACTGAACATTGAAAATGTAAAGTCATTCCCACAAAATACATTTATTTTTCATGTTATGTCCTGGAAAGAGTAAAGCATGGATCAAGGAGTCATTCAGGGTAGAGCTTTAAAATTTTTCCATAATCCTGATGGATTACAATGTGTTTCTTTATTTATCCATCTATGCATTTGTATGAGTGGACGAGAGACCAGAATAGATGCAGACATGCCTGAGACCGCTTTAAGTAGCAATCACCTCTATGCTTTGTCACTTTAAAACCTGTCAATATTTCATCCATAGTAAAACTAGGGGGAGAGCTTGTCACTTGTGTCTTCAGGGCTTTGCACTAAGTTTGATGCATTATTGATTGATTGCTGTGTGAGTGCTCCACCCTTCAGCTCAAATGTGCTTTCTTCTTGCTTTTTTTTTTTTTGCATATTATTCAAAAAAGAGGCTAGGGTCCTAATTAACAGTCTTTCTTTGTTTTTGAGTTGGAGTTTTTGACATGCACCATTCCAAAAAAAAAATTACAAGTTGATCTTTATTCACTTGTTGTGTTGTTGTTTTCCTTGGTGTGTCGTAATTATATTTTACTTCAATGATGAATTTAACAACCTAATATTTATAGTCAAATGAGATTT